TATTTTTTTCGGCTCTCCTTCGGATCAATACCCTAAAAGGAATTGGAAAAGCTCCCGTTGTAGACCTTTTGAGAGTGAACACCCTAAGAGGTAATAAAAACGTTTTTTTATCCTCTGAAAGGTATGACGAGCACCCCCGTCCTTTTTATAAAGGAGTCGTCTCCGTGAAAATCTGTAACAGCCATTACGCTTGTCATAGATTGCGTGACGAGCTTAAAGAATGTCTGCGTAGCTTAAAAATTTTATTTGATGTGTTTGTTTTTATGTAGTTTTTTCCTGAACTGGTCAGGAAGGATGAAGGAAAGCATAACGGATTGAACTGCAAGCGTTATGCGTTCTCTTAAAGCTGATTTTCACCAGAGACGGAGTCGCAGTCGGTGTCTTAATTAGAAGCTCAGCGATACCCGTCTTGTGAAAATTTAAACCGATGGAATCGGAAGCAGAATACAGATTCCCTTTATGATTCAGTCGCTTATGATGTAGAGAAGACTAGTTCAGAAGTCTGCAAACTAGAATTGTGATGTGTTTGTTCTTCCGCTTCTGCTGCCCGCTCCGACAATCTAGCTTTCAATAAATCATTTAGTTATAGCGACGGAGTTGTAAGTGGAATGGCAAGAAAATGGAAACTTTCTCATTCTGCCGACTACAATTCCAGCAAGGTTTATATGACTCCGCTTAAGACTCAGATTTTCGATTTTCATAAGCGCTCTTACAACTCCGACCACTACTCCGATTCTGACTCCGTCGCTAGTGAAAACCGTCCTTTAGCTGGATTATTAAACGGATTAAACACCGGAATTATTCCCACAAATGATCCTTGTCATTTTCTGTGGACGCCCAGGTTAATAGTTTTCCTTACCTTGTCCTGAAGGTAGCAAGTTCTTCACTTGTCTAAATACATCCTTAATTTGCTGAGAATCTGTAACATCCATTTGAAATGTTTTCAGTTTGTCGCTCGTCATCGATTTCAAATCTTGTGCTGCTTGCTTCGTTAAACAGGCGGCCAATACATGAACTCCCATCTTGTCCAAACGAATGGCGGTTTCACGACCGAAGCCCGAGCCGCATCCAGTGATGAAGACATATTTAGTTTGCAAGTTTTGCACTTTTCGTTTTGCAAGAAACTTTAAACTTAACAACAAAACGATGAGTGTTATTGCCCCAGCAAGGAGTAAAGTTTGGTACATGATTGGAGATCGTGCTCTGGTTGTGTGATGTTCGGATGAATGGTTTCGCGTGACATGATTTAGCTGACCGTATTTGGAGAACAAGAATGGACCTTTTTGAAGAAGCGGTCACGCTTTTCTGACAAACAACAAAGACTCACTGTTCGATTTACCACGCCGAATTTAGTAAAAAGGCGGCATTTCATAAGAATCCGTTGTAAACTCGTGGGACCCCAAACTTACAATTGTTGCAAAGAAATTTGCTGTGACTAAAAGTAAAACTAGGACGTGGGGACTGGGACGTATAATGTGGGACTTCAGGACTTGTGGAGGGACTCGAGGACGTGTGGACTCGGGACCTGGGACTAGGGAACATCGGGACGCCGGAACACGTGAACGTGGGGACATGTGGACTGGGCACGCAGGACGTGGGTACTCGGGTTAGGGTTAAACAACAACACCTGATTTTTGCACTGAATGTGTAAAATACGATTTTTGGTGGTGATCAGAGAGGTAAAATATCCTTAAACGTTTGTCAGCAGTAGCTGACGATTCCCAGCGCCCATGGTTCGGGCTGATTTGTTTGCTTGCCTATTTAAACGTGAGAGCTCTGGGTACAGAATAGTTTCAACGCAGGGGATCGTTAACTTTATGGGCAGCTGATGGAGGACGTTCCTGATAATTAACTGTGTTTTCTTGTTAATCCTTTAACATCCGTACCAGGAGCCCATTACCTGGAGCCTTCATCTCCCATACAAACCCTATGAGACAAACTTTGCGCATATCTTTTTATTTTTAGAAACCCGCGGGGGTTTTTGATTCGCGCGCACTATTCGAACGGCCAATCAGAACAAAGTTATGGTCTTAAGTCATGCGATAGTTTCGACAAAAACTATTACAGGACTGGCGGTAAGCGTGGATAATTCATCCAGTGAAGGCAGTGAAAGCTCAGATTATGACGAGATCTTTTCATAAGAATTAAGCACATCTTGTGAAAGTATCAGTGCAAAATGGGATTGACTAGCCTACACGACTTCTACGGTTCGCGACATTTGTACAAATTCTAGTTTATTTGTCAGTATGCAGAAATTGATCGAAGGAAGTTCATTGACAGAAGCTGTTTGCCATAAAGCTTACATTACACATTGTTTTTACCTAGAGTGTCTTTATAATACTTTTGTCCCAAGGTAATACATATCTAATATGGTGATATGAAGTATGACAGCAGTTGTTTGCCCTAAACTCACATGTTTACACTTTATTTTTACCTAGAGTGTCCTTATAAATACTTTTGTCCCAAGGTAATACATATCAAAGATGGTAATATGGTTTAAATACAAGGTATGGTAAAATGGTACTACGAAATATCTCCAGTTGGGGTGGGTAGGAAGTCTTCGAATTCAAATTTATGCCAAGTATTGTGATATTGCGCATATTTAAAATGAATTAAATCTAAAAAATTATGCAAAACAGTGTAATGTAGTAGGGACACATGCTGGGAACATGTTGCAGTTTTCCAGTAACAAGTCGAGAGATGCAAACCTAAAAAATGTTTAACTTGGGTAGGTTGAACATTTTGCCTCTTCTCAACTCCACCACCCACCTACCCCCTCCCCCCCTAAAAAAAATGTAACTCGTATTTATATTGTTGAGTTCCACCGATACAACTGGCACAGAATTGCATCAATTATCCCCCCAACATTGCCCAGAAACAATGAAACTATGCGTGGTAATATGTAATTAAAACACTTTCCTTCATGTCTGGGAGATTTGGTGACCCATACAGAAGACTGAGAGATTAGGCCTGACAAAGAGACACTCCCAAATAATTCTGGAAATGTCCCCTAGGCTCACATGTGCTCAAAATGCTTTTAAACTCACACAACAGTACCTTTGAAGTAATTTTGTCCCAGTGACATATAATCATTGCAAGTTCAAGAGGCTGAGCATGATTGGACCTTGGTAAGGGAATTATGAGAGCTAATTTCTTGAGGGCTGTAAAACCTTTTTAAGGGATCTGCTAGATATTTGCCGCTTACACCTTCCATCTCTTCTGCGACTGCGCAGAAAATGGTCGACTGGGCTCGCTCTTGAGGGTTCTTAGTTACGTACCACAGAACTAGGAAAACGATTGCTCTGGAGTAAATGGTATGGCGTGCCAGTTCAGTTTGGACAGCTCCTGGGTGGATTGGCAGTCACATAGCTACCCTCCAGGCGTTTGCTCAACTCTCGTGTGAAGAGCACGTTTGCAAGCTTGCTGTTGTAATAGGCTGGCTAAGCGCTGTAACTCTTCTCCCAGTGGATATCATCAAAGTTTATCTTCACAGACCCCATTGCATGCCCTTTAGAAGACACGTTAATGACGTGACTCGGCGCCGATTTTTTCAGCCGATCAAGGAGCAGCATCGTTAGCAGAAAATGGCCAAGGTGGTTGGTTCTAAACTGCATTTCGCATCTCGAAAATGTGAACAACCGAAGCTTCCTTGCAAACAAACTGAACATCACGCAAATACAAGCAACTGCGATTGCGTGACATCGTTACGCTTCAATGCACCCCAGGAACCCCGGAAACTTTTCAGGCTCGCAAAGCAATTTTTAGTTAATCGGTTTTTTTTTACTGCTGTTGTTTTGTGTAGTTGGAGACATCGGTATTTAAAAACAAAGAGGTGTATACGCATGAAGCCTCTTGTATGAAGGGAACCTCTGTTCATATTAAGAATATGTGCATAAAACAGCTCTGAAGTAATAAGGTTTGAGATTTTGCTGCGGGTTTCGGGTGCGAAAACTTTTCGCGACCTTTAAGAAATGGTCCCCAGGCCCATTATACCTCCTCGTTTCTTTCCCTTATTTGCCAAATTTTAGCTTCTCCAATCGCGCGGAGGATTTCAGGAGCATTAGTCTGTGAACGGGCTCTCTAGTCGAGGATGGGGAGAAGAGAAAAGAAAGAGAAGAAGATGCAAAGAATCAGAAAACAGCCCTCTGTAAATTGATTGGTTTAAAATCGTGTTTCTATTTAACAATTAGATTATGAGCTCGAGATTTCTATCACGCATAAAAATCGAAAGCGAATAATCCAATCGTTTTAGTATGAATCTACTAGTCGTTCAAAACTTTATCTAAATCCTCTTCACAGACACTTCGAAAATGTAAAGAAGCGGCCGCCAGTTCGTTAACAAGCGCACACTGCTACGCTACTCTCTATCTACAACAGAATTAGTCATTTCACGTTCTTGTTTTGCATAGGACGGTAAAGAAATGTACAATTATAGATTTATAACACACGTGCACAGCTATTGTTTTGCTCATTAACGTTCTCGTTGCCGTCTTCGTCGTGGTTTGCTTGTGCTCCCTAATAAGCTTCCCAATTAAACCAGGGTGGACGGAATGGTGAAATTTCACTTTACAGCTGGTATAAAAACACGTGTCGCTCGAAATCAAGCTAAACAAAGACAAGACATGCAACTGACATGATACCAGAGGGTGTACGTAACTAATCCTTCGTAAGAAAAAAAGATGGCGGCTGTGCCATGAATTATGGATAAATATAACAGTCGCCATGTGTTTTTATTTTTCTTGTGGAGGATTCTTTTAAGCACGTGGCTGCGCATCAGTTGAGGGAAATTATAACGATTGCCATAACAACGGTTATCACGCGTGCAGGATCTCATTTTCGTGTGTTTCAGTTTTCATTTGTATTTCAAGTCAACCAAATTTACCTTACCTTAGCTCTCAAAATCCATCCTTGACCATCTAACAGGCTCGATTTTCACGCAATTTTCCATAAGTATTTCAGTTAATTTCATTTCAAAGACATTTCACGTCAGAGAGCCAAGATTTTTTTAAGTCAATATCGGACTTCAGATTTACGTTTCATTTAGGGAGTTCAAACGGGGTTTTGAGTAGAGCTGTCCGCCTACAAGAGTATCCATTAAGAGAGCTTCCACTGCCCTGTATAATGATTATTCTAACCTCGTTACTGTCGAAAAGCTTCGTTTTAAAATTGTTTTCTGTCTCGACTAAAACGCCAAGCCGGCGTTTTCAAATTCCCCGGTTTGAAGAGCGTATTCGAAAAGCTCCGTTTTCGTGACGGATTAGTGAGGACGATAGGTCTAACCGGAGAAATAAAGCTGAGTTTTCAAATCCCTCCGGCGTAATGCGCACGTGGCAAAGCAAAGCAAAGCAAATAAAAGCCCAGTCGAACAAAAAGACGGCTGAGAGTACAGAAAACATTTGTGCCATTAAAATCAAAACTAAAGGACTTTGCACCACATTTCCCTCCATTTCATCTCAAGTAGTTTCGAAATTTCCGCTTGGGCTATCCTCGCGTCGCGCGAGTAACAACCTCGGAAGAACTGGGTACCATGTCTGAAAATAACTTATGATTCACTCCCTTAATTTGATCTTTCATTGAGAGAAGATCATGTGGTCAACTAAGGTAGATTATAGTTCACTACTAAATATTCTGTAATTCTTATTGTTTTAAATTGACCACGTGATGCGATAGCGTTCATCAGCGGAGAGACACTGTCAGCCCTTGTAGCTCACCACTAAATTTTCTGCGAGTCTTACTGGTTTAAATTGATCACGTGGTGCGATAGTGTTCGTCCGCGGAGAGACACTATCAGCCCATAGTGCCCGTCCGCGGAAAATACCCGGATGGATAGTACTCGTCCGTGAAAATTTTTCTGTAAACAAGCGGGTTTGTAGAAAATAAAGAATTGAAATTGTATTAAGTGGGTTTTTGTCGGTTTTCTTTTTCAAATTTTACATCTGCCTGTCACGGCTTTCATCTGAAAATGTTTAAAATAATTCATTATGATTTTTGAACTGGCGCACGGAAGAAAATTTAGTGGTGAACTATAAGTAAACAATAGTGTGTTTCTGTAGAGGAACTATCGGGTGATAGTTGCCCCGCGGAAATTTGACGTTCTTAAAACAAATATTTGCCCGAGAGGCGAAGCTTCGAGGGCAAATATGCCAGTTTTAAGAGCATCAAATTTCCGCGGGGCAACTATCAGACCGATAGCTCCTCGACAGAAACACTTTTTGCTTTGTTTAGTAAATATATAGTTCTGTTCGTGCAGACTACGGTAACTCCTTTTATATTTTAATAATGTAAAAACAATACTCAGGACAGGGTAAAACTTCAAGGAGGTGTGTTGGGGTGAATTCAGTCGATAATTTGAAGGTGGGACATTTTAAAGTAATATATCAAACACGAGAGACAGTGTTTCCTCGGGATATCCAAACACCGAGAAGAAAGTTGAAAATACGACGCGCAGCGGAGTAGTTTTGACGAAATAGGTGTTTGGATAGCCCGATGAAACAATGTCTCCAGTGTTTGAAACAAAACTAAGGAGTAAAAGGAGAAGTAAAATCGTCAAAATCATCCTTCACGGTTGTGATTTTCTTTGTTTTAACTTGATGAATTATTAATGAGTTTGAGAACAAAACATGATAGACTCTTGTTGAGGTGGTGTTGTCAGTTTAAATTTTTCCCGTATGACATGCAGCTCTCAAGAGGAAGTAAAAACTGCGGAGTAAAATCACTTGCGCCTTTTCTCACGTAAAGTGTAATCACCAATAAACGTTGGGAAACTCGACATCAGCACGATTCGCTTTGCATCCGTGCCAACCACATAACGTGTCTGGGGTCCCTGTGACGTCAGGCCATCCACGATCGCGTCCACAACTTTGTAAGTGTCTGGTGAGGTTTCTTTTTCTATCACGCGTTGCGTTCGTTTCGCCATGGAAACTATAAAGTATAGAGAAATACCGAAGTTTTTTCATTAGTGTCGCAGAACTAATGGTAACCAAACAACCAGGTTCCTTCTTCCGCTTTGCCACAAATTGGAAAGTGCCCCTTGACAAGGTCTGTCTTTTTTAAAGGGCACCATGAAGCCCTGGGCTTATGCAACTTCGTAAGGGGTTTTAACAAGACTTATGACTTCAGGGAAGGGGTCTCTGTCCAGGGTGGCTCACAAGCCAAAGAATGGAACCTTACAAGAGATGAATTAGATATTCTGATGGGCAACATGTCTGCCAAGAGTTGTGAACTGTATTTCACTTGTAGTACCACGGGCTGCGAGGGGAGGGGCTTGTGAGGTGTGCCATATATAAACAGTGGGGTATCTGAAGGGGGTGGGGGAAAATTTACGATACAACACATAATATTTATATATACAATGTATCGAAGTGTTTTCACCAGAATTGTGAATAGCAATGGCGAATCTGGGGAAGGGCCCTTATTTTGGATAAAAAAAACCCCAAAATATCGCAGCAGGAAGAAAAGCCGGCAGGGCAAGCGAACCCCCCCCTCCCCCCCACCGTAAGCTCAAGGTCTGGATCCGCCACTGAATAGAGTGTCGGTACTTGACAGTCATCTGCCTCAGAGAAAAAAAAACTACTTTTTATTTGCATTTCAAGTTCGGTTATAATTCGGTATGTTGATACCAGTGACGTTTAAAGTTGCATCACTCCTTACATGGACCTTACAACGATAATCTTCGGCAGCGCGGGACAAGCTTTGACCTGGTATACACACCTTGAGTCAGCAAAGTAGAAATATTCGAAGCGTTAATCCCACAGTAGCATTACCAAGTAGGTGTAATAGCGTAAAAGAGGGTCGCACGTTTTCTGTTACCTCTAAAAAAATGTTAGAATTATATTCTTAAGAGCGTATTGTACAAACAATTAGGGGTAGTTTTTTTTTTTACCTCGCTTAGATAATTATTTTTAGATCGAGTAAGCTGAGTAGAAAACCCTTACCTTATGTTTGAGTTTAGCTTACCTTTTTAAATCTTACTCTTACATCGTTTTTGCTTCTTATCAAAACAAAATTATTTTTGTTAAAAAAATATTCTTATATTGTTATACTTGGCATTGCAACAACAGTTTAAACTTACTTCCGTCAAGACGTTTATCTCCATAATCTTCCTTCATCTCGGGACTCAGATTATTCCAAAGCTGTTTCATTGATTCACCAACAGTGTGTGCTATACCAGTCTGAAACATTCCAGGTTCAATCATGCTGACCAACACTCCCCACGGGCTCATTTCTCGTCTGAGGGCATCTGAAAAGGCTTCAACGCCATACTTGGAGATACAATAAGCGGATACACGAGGAAACGACATGCGACCTGCAACAACAGAAAATACCTTAGAAAGCAGTAACTACCAAAACTCATAAGAGCAACGCATTCTCCGTTTCAAGTCAAGAGGGTTGGAAAACACGAGCCCATGACCAATGACGTCCTGTTTACAGGAAACGTTTCAACGCGATAGTTAGTCACAGAGAGGTTTATTACATACACACAAAAAAGATGCACCAAGAGGGCACAGCACCAGCAGCTGAAGTTTCAAAAAAGTTGGTTGCAAGGCACGTGAAACAACTCGTTTACACCGCTTACGTTGTGTTAGGTAGCGAAAACGAAAACAAGGACTTTGGCTATATTCAAATTCCAAGGGGCGCGGAATACTTCTATGGCAAATCGATATAAAGTAGACGAGAAATGTTGGGGGAAACATCGCGTTATTGACTGATATAATATTACAGTGAAACCCCGCCTTACGGCCACCCGTTAATACGGAGAGGTTTTGTGATGCCGTGTACTATAACTAACCTGCCATACTCGACAAATTAACCACTCTTCCCTGGGACTTCTTAATCAACGGTAGGAAGGTCTTAGTGACGTCAATCATTCCCCACAAATTGACGTCTGCGATGTGCTTCATATGTTCCAGCGGTGTCCATTCTATTGGCGCAACGGTAAAAACTCCGGCATTGTTCACCAGTCCCCACACGCCTGGAATTTAGTTAAGTGGAGAGTAAATAATCATTTTAACGGCAAAATAGACCAATTTCGATATATTAAAATTCAGCCTAACACAATAGACCTCAGCACGAGGCTCTGGGGAATAAACCCCACAAACTCTGTAGTTATTTCCCAGAGCCTCGCACTGAGGTCTATTGTTTTAGGCTGAATTTTAATATATCGAAATTGGTCTATTTTGTTGCATTACTGGAAAAAGCATCCAGTCAGAGGAACCAGCTCCTCTATTATATTGCGTCCTCATAGCGTTGTTAATTATAGTGACAGGATCTGATACCTCTATTTTGTTAGGGTGGTCCATAGAGTCGCGTTGTGAACACGAAAGCCCTTCAGCAACATCACTGACTTGAAAGTGAAGAACTCGTGAGTACTAACCTCGTTGGGGCCCTGGTAACGAGTTTTGCACGAAGAACAAGAATTTTTATGAGGTTGCACGAGTGCTTCAAATACCCTCACATTTTTTGATTGTACGCGACTAGTTTACCTTCTTAATGTTATTTTGTGTGCCCTGCTACCGATTTTCTGTTTAAAAAGATATATTTAAAATTTTATCATAGCATTAGAGTTAATGAGCTTAAATTGGTCTTTTACACCAATTGGTCACGCGAACGTAATTTCTAAACTTTTGCAGCTAAATGAATCTCAGAACTGGAAAGGGCATGTTTTAAATAGCTAGAACACCAATTTTCGGACGAATGCCTTTTAACGTTGAGATTTAACGATGATTCGAATATTGCAAAAATAGCCTATTTATAGAGCAACTGCGGAATACCCCGCCACTATTGTTCTCAATTCTACTTGCGCATAATGCGCATGAATGATCAAGTGAATGAAATCGAGTGGCAGGGTATTCTGCAGTTAACTTTCTTGGTGGAAAATTAAGATTTTCGATTTTCACTAGCAACTCCGACTGCTACTCCGATTCTAACTCCGTTGCTAGTGAAAACAATGGCCGATCCAGACCTTGAGCTAAGAGGAGGGGCCCCGGTTTTGTTTTGCTTGCCCTGCCGGCTTTTCTTTCTTCTGTGATTTTTTCTTTTTTTACCCAAAATAAGGGGGGCGGGCCCCTTCCCTAGATCCGTCACTGGAAAACCAGCGTTAAGCTGTATTAACACTAGGTTCATTATTTGCAAAAGCACGCGAAGGGAACGAAACTGCGAGCGAGTGCGAAAAATAAGGATTTTTTGCTCACCCCAGGCGCGCTCGTTAGCTCGCTCGCTCGCTTGCTGTATCTCCCCAGGCAGGTTACCTAATTACCACTTATTTTCGCGCGAATTTGATTTCGCAAATTTGGAATAGAAATATTTCGCAGGACTTAAATTTCGCGATTTTGGCGAATCACCGTTTTCAAGGTAACTAAATTTCGCGAATCAACTAACTGGCGCTCGTTTTTAAACTTCCATTTCTGTATTTTATTCTTCTGAAAAGAACGAAGCCATCGTGAAGAGGCTTAAGCAGCTAATCACAGAGAACTGTAGGGAGCCAGATACCGGTGGAAAATTTGAAGACTGTACTGAGGAAGTGTTACAGTAACTAAGGCCCAGTTAAAACGTCGCATTTTACATGCGCCGAATCAAATACTAATTTTAGTCGACTCGAATGAATAAGTTCGGCTGATTTGATCTAAACGTCGCATCTTTTGCCGAAAAAAATTGCTGAGCGCGGGCGATAGCGACGTGTTAATTCCCATTCGAGCAAACACAATTTATTTAACATAATTTATTTAACATAATTTATGAATTAGATTCGACACATGTAAAATGCGGCGTTTAAATCAACTGTCGAACTTCAGTCGTACATTCGACTGGATCAGTCGAACATTCGACTGAACTCGCATTTAATTAATTGAAATGTAAACTCACAACAGATGGAAAAAAAGTAATGGATTTTATAAAGGTCACTAAATTTCGCGGCTTTAATTTTCGGGGGACTAATTTCGCGAATATTTTTAAGTCTCGCGAAAATAAAGGGATCATAAGGTAGATTAGTACAAGAACTATTTCCTCGGATGACTCCTGTCATTTTATGTGGACGCCGAGGTAAACATTTTTCCTTACCTTGTCCCGAGGGTAGCAGGTTCTTCACTTGTCTAAATACATCCTTAATTTGCTGAGAATCTGTAACATCCATTTGAAATGTTTTCAGTTTGTCGCTCGTCATCGATTTCAAATCTTGTGCTCCTTGCTTCGTTAAACAGGCGGCCAATACATGAACTCCCATCTTGTCCAAACGAATGGCGGTTTCACGACCGAAGCCCGAGTCGCATCCAGTAATGAAGACATATTTAGT